TACAAGGACTTCTGGACTCTCAGTTCTGTTCCACTGATTTCTGTGTCTATCCTTAAGCCAATATTGTTTCCTATGATTATGAGTCTCTTATGGTGTGTCTCCCTCTCTGATTTCATCTTGTTTTATTTTTTTCTCTCTTCTCCTATGATCCTCTGTTTTGTTTCTTAAATTCCACATATGAGTGAGATCATATGATTGTCTTTCTCTGACTGATTTATTTCACTTAGCATAATACCCTCTAGTTCTATGCACGTCGTTGCAAATGGCAAGTAAATAAAGTTTTATTGAAACACAGCCATATTCATTTACCTATTGTCAATGTCTGCATTCACACTGCAACAGCAAAGTAGTTGCAACGGAGACCGTATAGCCTACAAAGCCTACAAAATTTATCACTTACTCTTTTACAGAGAACATTTTTAACCCCTGTTATAGATTATTAGTAACTTTTTCCCTGCTTCTTTGTATCTGTAGTAATTATTGGCTACTTGCTGGATGTTGTGAGTATAGGCAATAGAGATTTTGGATGATGGTATCTTTCTCAACAGGACATTAAATTTTAATCTGGAAGGCAATCATCACCTCTGTCATGTTGAGGTTTGGTTTTGGCTCTCTTAGGGCTCTCTTATTGCTATGACATGGTCCTTATACTTAGGTGTGGCCTTTTTGTGAATCTCCACCCAGAGCCTGGGAGTTCACCAAATACTCTCTATAATCACTGGGCTTAAGTACAAACCTCTGCCCTCCCAACAAAACTGTGTTCTCTTTGAAATCTCTGTCCAGCTCTCCAGCTGCCTTTGCTGGGCCTCCCGAGCAATTCTCAAGTGTTGGCTCTATGTGCAATTTTCACACAGAATTTTTAGCCTCCTTCACCTAGGTTTCTCCTTTCTAGAATCCTCCCCAGCAAATCCCAGTGGTCTTTGCAACTCTAAACTCTGGGATCTCCCTCTATCCAGTGAGATTACCACTCTCTGATTGGGCACTATTTCTCTGAACTGTGGTTTGGAAATGCCCTCAGGGTGAAGCTGAGATGAATATGGGGCTCATCTAATGGGCTAATGTGTTTCATTTCTTTTATGTTTCTTTTCTCTAAAGGATCATGGCCTTACATTGGCTACTATCTAATATTAAAACAGCTTTTAGAATTATTCATGGGGACAGTTAATTCTAATGCCATCTACTCCATCATATCAAAATTCAGATCAATTATTTTTTTAAATACCTATTATGCCAGATTCTTTATATACATTATTGCTAGTCTGTGTGTGTTCTGTAGAGTACGCATTATTATCCTCATTTTTATTGATTAGAAAACTGATGCTCAGAAAGTTTTAAGAACTGATTAAAACTAACCAAGCCGAGTCAATAGAGCAGGATTTGGAATTGAGATTTCTTTGGCTCCAATTTCAACCATAACATAGTAGAATTCTACAATAACATAGTTTTTTCCCCAGCTAGTCACTGACAAGTCAGTATATAAATGCCACACAAGACAGTGTATAAATTCCACTGACAAGTCAGTATATAAATTCACTACAATTTTACTAAAGCTTTTGCATTAGTATTTTTGTGAATTAAAATGTTTAGAAGGAGAGGTTATTGATATCATCAGTTAAAAATGATAAATGAGGTTTATATGAGGATTTTGCTGCCCTATTCAGAGAAAATTCGTATCTGTATTTAAAATAGTGAGTGTTGTGTCACTGATTGTTTTAAATTATTTTAAATGTTTGAATAAACTTTGTATTCCCTCTAAGGAATACTATTTCTTCTCTTAATTCCCACACAAATTTTGAATTTATAATGTGTTAAATGCCTAGATAAGAGATTGTTGAAATTACATAAACTCCTCTTGCAAATGGTAAACTTAAGAATTTTCTTTGTTCCTTTTTTCTCCATGTCTTAAATGATAGAGAATGCATTTAGAATCTAATTCATGTATTATCAGTTAAAAATGTTCTCTGTGGTTTTTTACACCAGACTTCTAAAGAAATTATTGTTGGGATGTCATTGCTCTGTCTCTTCTTTATGTGGAATTAAAAGTTGCAAAAAAACTTCTCCATAATATTTTCTTAAAACCGTATATAAATTTGTGTAGTAATACACCAACAAATCAAAATAATAAATTATCATATATACTGCCAAAAAAAATAGTGTTTCTGGGGCATTCCTATGAAATGAATGTGTCCACCCCCAGGCTCCACCAATTTACATGTTGAAACCCTAATGCCCAATATGATAGTATTTGGAGGTGGGTCTTTGGGAGATAATTAGGTAATGAGGGCAAAGCCCTCACAAATGGTATTAGTACCCTAATACTCATAAGAGACATGAGAGAGATGATCTTTCTCCACCGTGTGAGGAAGGTGGCCATTTGCAAACCAGGGAGAAGGCTCTCACCAGACACCAAATCTGCTGGTGCCTTGATCTTGCACTTCCCAGAACTGAGAAATAAATGTTTGTTAAGTCAATGGCATTTTGTTATAGCAGCCTAAACTGACTAAGACAGAAATCATTCACATATTTTTTGGCTAATATCTTAAGATATTAAAATAATCATGAGGAAACTGGTACTAATGAATCAGTGCCCTTACTAAATAAGGCAAGCTTTCTATTGTCGGGGACTTACCATGTCACCATGACAGAGATATGCCATCCTATGCTTTTGGAAATGAAGCACTTGGGAAATAATACTTAGACATTTTTAACCTATCATAATGTAGTCTGACCCTGGAAAATTAGCCCTTATTCACAACTAATCACACTAATCTTCTCTAGTGCTCCAGGTTTCTTATCAGGAAAGGTCAACTTTAAACCTATGAACAGTATTCAGAGTTTCCCCCAAAGAAATAATGTTTCCAAAACACAAAAGAAAAAAATTACATAAACAAACAAAAGAGGGGTGTAAAATGTGTGAACAGTCTTTGAAACCTGTTGCCTACTGTCTGTTTCCTTGCTCTGTGTGTATTTTTCATATCCACCAATACCAACTACAGACTGTCTTTAATGATGAGGTTCTGCCAATTTAACTTCCCAATTATTTTATCCATTGCTTGGATACAACTGTAAAGACCTACCCATTCTGCCCCTTTCCCGTCTCCGTAAGTTTCCCACCAGCTTTGCTTTTCTTCTCTCCTGTGTGAATTCAATCATGTGAATCAAAACTCGGATGCTCTATCATTCTAGATGTCATGTGTTTGGTAGTGTGTTTTGAGTAGATTCAACAAGACTTAGGAGAGAAAGAAAAAGAGTAAGAGAATGGCATGGGGAGAACAGATGTGCCACTGGGCATTTGGAGTAACACAAGCAATTCCGGGCGACTGCTCAGCAATTTGGAGAGAATCATCAGTCACTTCTGGAGCATGACTGTGAAGCTTTTATCCAATACAACACGTAGGTGCAGTCTATGCAAAACAGATGAGTCAAAATGCCTGGTGACTCTGAGGACTGAAACACAGGCCAAACCCTACTCTTCCCTGAGTGGAATGGTCTTCAAAATGAGCACCATTAAAAAGGGTGTAGCTGACAGTCAACTTCTGCTTCCTAAAGGAATCCAACAGAGCTAGCACTGGGTTAAGGGAAAATCAGACGATGTAACAGTACGAGTGGAATGGAAATTTTGCAATAAGCATACCTGGTCAAAGAGGGGTGAACTGAACAGTGAGTGTGATCCTGGAATCCACATACCTCAGCTCAAAAACTACATACAGATCCACAGCCTATTGTCTTCATCCCCTTACCTTTTGTTCTGAGCTCATGGAAGATGGGTTTTGAGGCGAAGGAGGCAGCAGGGAAAAGGGAAATAGGCCTTCCCCATATCTCTTGTTTAATTCCATGTCAGACCACCACTCTGACACGTGTACTTTTAACACCTGTTTCCTTACCTCTTGAATGCTATTTCGCTATTTTTTAGGAGACAAGCATGAAACACAGAATTGGAGGGTAAGAACAGACCTGAGGCTATAATCCCTTTACAAGAAAGAAGAATGAAAATGTAAGGCTTGCAACTGCATTAGGTCTTAACAGCAGGATTGAAATTTTACATCTCTCGTCTTGTTTCTTTCCCATCCTGGCTTTCTTCCTTCCTGACTCAGTGGAGAGTTAGATAATTTGGGTTCAACAGTCCATCCAGAGAAATGACCAGACACAAATGCAGACAGCAAAGTGCAGACACAGCACTGAATTGTGATGTGCCAAAAACATTCAAAAGGAAGCAAGCCAAATGTGAAGGAAGAGGGCACTGAAGCAACTGGTCATTCAAGGCAGACACGTGAAATGACCACAAACGTTGTTTTAATAGATTCCTACCATGATTTGCTGCCAGGTTGAGATGAAGTGCATTTTATTAATATCTCCTACATTTGGTCCCCCAAGGGCAAACTCATTGTGAACTATTAGAATCTTACTGCCCATGAGGTTACAAGCTTTGATCCCGTTTGCAATAATTCTTCAGAGTGTCTGGTACAAAACCGAGGTGGAAAAATCTGAGACTGAAGGGTTCTTGAGAAAGAACAGGGCAGGCAGCGTGTTAATTATAAAAGGGAAAATGCTCTGATTTGGGTTAAGTTTTGTAGAAAAAAAGACCTCAGGGATATTTCAGGTAGTAACCAGGTTTTACATAAATTGAATTATAGATTGGAGAGTTTTTTTGGACAGCTGTTTCCTCAAATGTTTGATAATTTAAAAAAAGGGGCTCCCAATATTGTTAAAGGGATGGCAACTTCTTAACCAAACAATGAATCTCATCTTTTCATCCTCCCCAGTCCCTTTGGTTAATCAGACATAGTCCATTCCTTCCTCGAATGTTATTTTTTCCCCCAACCCCATTCTCCTTGGCAGATCACCAGCATTTTTTATTTGTGCATTTGGATTCAGGGGTGGTATTAACATCATGCCTTTCTGTAACCATACTTACCTTTTAACCATATTCAGGGCAAATAATTCCACACGCTGCACTAAAATGGAAAAATTTTCCAAATGCCTGTCATTTTTCATAATAGGATCCCTATCCAGGCAATCTAGATAAAGGAAAATGTGAAAAATATAACTCTCTTAAGAGTCAGTTATTAACTGGAATCTGGAGCAATCGGTGTAAGAGATGCCTGGGACAGGAAATCAGTCTTCCTTTGGGAGAAATACGGTCTCGTTTAGGTCTAAGGTTTCTGTGCCAGATTCTCAGGGGCTTTCCCTTTTGGGAGCGGAGATCTGGTCAGAGCCCGGGCGAAGAAGCCGTCAGAGCCCCCTGCTGGGTGGTTTGCCTCATTTAACTCTTACAACACCACTGGGAGAAAGACACGCGTAGCTACCTCCGTTGCACAAAGGAGAATGTGTCTCAGAATGTAGGTACATAAATTGCTTAGGGAATCTCTGCTAATAAGTTTTAGAGGCACAATTGGAAGTCGAATCCGCCTACGTTTCCTTCACAGCGCTACAAAACGGAGACGTTGAGTTGGTCTGACATGGCTTTTTCCAGTTTCCAGAATGAATTCTTTGTGCGAAGTTGTTTCTCCTCCAATTTCCTCCAGGCCCATTATGGTGAGTGTTGGGGTAATAGGATACTGGAGTTTGGGTTTTTAATTTGGGGCCAGAGCCTTGTCTTCGTGTCCTGGCTCTGTCCCGGGAAGGAGGTGCTAAGGTTCCGCGGTGTCGCGGCAGGAGCGCGGAGTCCCCTCCAACTAAAGAGGAAGGGTCTACCCGCAGCCTCACGAGAACAATAAACAAAACAAAACAAAACAATCATCGCAATCCCGAGCTAGGTAGGGCCTCCGGTGGACCGGGAAAGAGGGTCGGGGCAATGAGGCGCCTCGGGAGCGCCCTCTGGCGAAGACGGAGAGCGCGTGTCCCCGCCCTGGCCCCCCTTCGCCGCCGCCGCCGCCGCCGCCGCCGCGGCGCCCCCGCCCGGCTCTCCGGGTTCACTTCGGTCTCTCACTCCGTGAGACACAGACGGCAGCTTTCCGAGCGAGCTGGGGACAGGCTGAGGCGGCGCCAGCAGAACTGCGCCGCTCGCCGGGGGAAGACCTGGGCGCCGGGAGAGAAGGCAAAGCCCGGAGCCCCAGCCCCTCTCTCCGTGGGGGTCTACTGAGCCGACTGGCAGCTCGGCGGCCGTGCGCGACCCCCTTCCCGGCCACTTCGCGGGGTGTGCCAGGACTTGGGGACGCGGCTCGGGAAGAGTCAGGGCGGGAGACGGCGGCGGCGGAGAGAGGGGGCGCGCACCGGGACGGGAGAGGAGTGAGTGGCGGGCTGGGCGGCGGCGGCGGCGGCCGTAGCCGCGGGTACCTCCCCGCCTCGCCGCTTCGCAGGCAGCACCGCTTCCCCGGGCCGCGGCCGCCCGGCCGGGTCCTCTGCGCGTTCCCGGGCCCCGAGCCGGCGCACGATGCGCCCGGCTGCGTTCTGATCGCCGCCGCGCCGCCGCCTCCGCCGCGATGATCCCCCCTGAGCAGCCGCAGCAGCAGCTGCAGCCGCCACCGCCGGCCCCGCCGAACCATGTGGTGACCACCATCGAGAACCTGCCGGCCGAGGGCAGCGGCGGCGGCGGCAGCCTGTCCGCCTCCTCCCGGGCTGGCGTACGCCAGAGGATCCGCAAAGTGCTGAACAGGTGAGCGGCGGCGGGGGCGCGGGGCGAGGGCTGCGGGAGCCGGGCCCCGGGTCTTCCCCGGACCCCCGGCGGCCCGGAGGCCCCTTGGGACGGAGTCGCGGCCGAGGGAGACTGAGGACACCCGGCGACGACGCGCCCCGCGCTTGCGGGGAGGCCGTGGCAGCTTTGTCCCAGAGCGGGGAGCCCTGGGGCGCCCGGGCTGCTGGCTGGTCCGAGGCGGGAGTTCGGGGAGAGGCGGGGTTTGCTGCCCGGCTGTTGTGTGTCGGCACTCACACCCTCGCACACGCGTGTTGCCTCACTCCCCTTACCCACTCGGACCCCAGCTTTGCGCCCCGGGGACAGGGGGGACCCGAGGGTGGTCCGGGCGGAGGCGGGAAGACGCGGAGCTTAGGGGATGGCGAGGAAGTCGCCGGCCTGGCACTGTCGCCCGCCCCGGCTGGATGTCTCCAACCTCCACGCCGGGGGATGGAGTCGTGGCGACAGCCTGAGCGGGCAGGCGGGGACCCACTTCTCCTGTCTGACGCCCCAGTTGCCGCTCAGACTCCTCCAAGCTGGGACCAGGGAACGGGAGGCTGGAGGCCTGGATCAGACCCACGCAAAGTGCAAAAATGTTGTGAGAAGGGTGTGAGCAGGAGGGGCCCGGTTATTCCAAAGCTGGCTAAAGCCATAGGAGGCGAGCGCAGAGCGCAGATCGCCGGCGCCTCCAGTGCTGGAATCTGCGCAGTGAATGGATCAAGGACGAGGCGTTTTCGGTTGAGAACCCGGGTTGACGTGAAGATGGGGCCCCTGGTGCCCCTGACTCAACTGTTACGTGAAAGGGACTTTTTTCTACTTAAGTAACTTGGAATGGTTGAAGAGCTGACACTTAAAAAAAATCAGAGAATTGGTTTTGTGTGTTTTTATTTGAGTGCGTGTGTGCTTTTTTTGATGCATCTGTGTGGGTAACTCTTAAGGTGGCTCTGTTCATACAGGTTTCTGTGTGGCACTGTTTTGGGCGGCCGAGACTCTGCATAGAGCTATGGGGAATTCACACAGAACTCTATGGGGCTTAAAGCTGTAGTGGGAGCACAAAATATGTACAGAAATAGCTTGGAAGATGGAGTATGGTTTAATTCAGGTATAACAAATCCCAAACCATTGGAGTCCCTTGCGAAGACTTAATGTGTTTATTAGCTTACTTGTGGGTACTTCAGTATGTTTCTATTTATTAGCAAACAAGAAGAAATTCACGCTGAGTGAGACATGAGTTGGTAATAGAAAGTCAAGCCTCTGCTTTCCTTCGAGTTGTAGCTTAGGATAACACCTTCCAAAAGATTACATTTAAAAGACAGTGACCAGAATGAATCAAGAAGATGTTGGCTTAGTACATATTATAGAGGTTTCCTATTGTTCATGAATACCTGTGGGTTTTTGAATTGTAAATATCCTGGCATTGGATGTTTAAATTTTTAAGCAGAGTACGTTAAATATTAATATCCCTCATCAAACTGGAAAAAAGCCTGGTGCAGTCGTTCATTTATCTTTGCTTGATTACAAGTTGTTATTGATTCTGTGCAGGTTATTTCTTGATATTTAATGAATCTTAGAGTTTGGAATAAAAAGATCACTGAGGAGACTTGGTTGTTATCATTTCTCAGCCAGTAACTAGCCGCGTGGCTTGGGGCAGATCTGCACATTTCCCTGGGACTCGGTTTCTGCATTTGTAAAATGTGTCTCATAATACTTGCCTTACCACTCTTGTCATGAGATAATACTAAAGAAAACACTTGGGCGAGGGCGCCTGGGTGGCTCAGTTGGTTGAGCGGCTGCCTTTGGCTCAGGTCATGATCCTGGAGTCCCAGGATCGAGTCCCGCGTCGGCGGGAGGGGGGGGGCCCCTGGGGGGGTCCCTGGGGGGGGGGTCCCTGCTCAGCAGGGAGTCTGCTTCTCCCTCCGACCCTCCCCCGCTCTCATGCTCTATCTCATTCTCTCTCTCAAATAAATAAATAAAATATTAAAAAAAAAGAAAAGAAAACACGTGGGCGAATATAGAGTTCTACATGAACTCATTGCTTCAGCGGATTTTTGTTTGTCTGAGGTGGGTCTGTGGGAGCATCATAAGCAAATGAAGTTGTAGTACATCATGAGTAGAACTTTGTGTTTTACTAAGCCTTCAATGATCTGTGTGACCTTAGTTGTACTATTCCTAATTTATAGAGGAAGAACTTAGACTGAAAGATTGGGTCAATGACATGTCATCTCAGGCCCATCTGTGAATGGGAACCTACCTAGGGTTATAGCCTTTCTACTTCAACTAAAACATTTAATTGTCTTTTAAAATTCTTCAGAATTTCCAATATAATATTTTGTATTAAGTTAATGGTCTTTCCGTATTCTTAAAGGGACAAGAAGAAAATATTTCTTTTGAGAAGGAGCATCTTTGGTATGGAGACTTAAAAAAATCAGATTAGATATAAAAATCTCGATGGAATAATTGCATCAGCATGTTGATGAGCTTGGCTTCTGCACTGTGATTATGTCAACATGGAGGGCATTGGTAGCGGGTGTTGAGTGGCTGGACTCTACAAGCAACAAGGCAGGAGGAAAGTGGAATTTTAGAGATCTTGTGCCAGCACTTAGGTGTGGCTCCCCTCTAATTTGAATCCTCCAAGTAGGTAGATCAGTCAGTAATGGCTATCAGGCTGGCCCACTGGGGCCAAATCAGAAGCATCTTTGTTTATTTTCTCAAAGCTTAAAATCATTTTCCCCCTTCTTTTTCTTCTTCTTTACTCTTTCTTTTTCCTTAATACTTTTGTATCCTTCACCTGCATTGCTCTATCAACTTACTGTCCTCTGAGTTTCAGTTGCTTTTTTTTCATCTGCTTCTGGCATGCAGCAACTTAGTTGTTAGCAGAAAGTGAGGTTGCAAATCTGGAAGTTTAGAGCCAATATAAAAAGATATCCTTCCAATTTTTGGCATGCAGATTTATGGTTGGCAGCATTCTATTGCTGTGAGCTGACCAGTAGTCTCTTCAGTGACAGAATGGGACATTGCACCACTGTTAGTTAGCTCTTAGCATCCATTGGGCCAAAGAGGCAGTGCTGACAGACTAAGGATGGTGCAGTGAGATGGGGAGTGTTAGACTATGAGCAATGTGAGCCCCGTGATTTGCCTGCCACTGGTGAAAGTCTATAACAATAGCTACCTGCCGACCCAGAGGAAGAAATGCAAACACATATGCTATCTATATCTACCCAGGGATAGGTAAAAAGAAAAGTACTGGTTAATAATTAATTAAAGTTACTTGCTCTCAAGAAGCATAGAATGAAAATGTAGTGTTACCTTAATGAAATCTGCCTAACATTATCCTGCCTCATTTTACTTTCCTCAGTACAGCTGCTCATCCTTTCCCCTTTCTTTACAGGCTTGTAGAGTTGGAGTCCCGCATTTTGTACATGACAGTTGGGGCATCTCACTAATTACTCACTTTCTGTAAAGCAATGAGATTAGAATCTAATAGTATCCAAGATTTTGGTGAAAGAGGAGGTAGGTGCTAGGTAATTTTTGAAACCAGTTAAGGGGATGTGTCACATTCTTCTCCCTGTGGTATTCAAATTTGTTTTGGCAGTGGGATGCAAGAAATCCAAGATGATTCTAATGCTGAGATAATTACTCCTTTAATTCCCAAAGATTTAGAATAATGTATTGGTTCAAGCGTGGAAAAAAATATAGCAAACTTCCTCATTTATTTCTTAGCGTGGAGTAGTATTTATTACCCTGTCACAGGCAAGCAGGATATGACAAAAAAGAAAACACTTCAAGGGCAATGGTTGATGACCCTTTCACAAAAACTGCTGAATACTGGTAGATTTCTTAGGAAGATAGAGGAGTAGATACTGGTCTGTACAGTATCCGAAGATTTGCTCCTCTAAAATGATTATGTAATGAAATATTTGTGAAAAACGAGTAATAGCTTGTTTTGTGTTTTGCGGTTTTATTTATCTTTTCTGAGTTGAATATTATTATCAGATCTTAACAAAAATAACTGTGAATTTCTAGTTTTGACCCACTTTCTTCCCAACAAGAGATTCATTGGGTTGTCTCAAGTTATAAAGGGGTTTCTGCCTTTTTGAGGCTTATAGTGGGGATATTTATTTATTTTTATTTATTTTTTATTTTAAAGATTTTATTTATTTATTTGAGAGAGAGCGAGAGTGAGAGCACATGAGGGGGGCGGTCAGAGGGAGAAGCAGACTCCCTGCTGAGCAGGGAGCCCGATGCAGGACTCGATCCCGGCACTCTGGGATCATGACCTGAGCGGAAGGCAGTCGCTTAACTAACTGAGCCACCCAGGCGCCCCTAGTGGGGATATTTAATCGTTAGAAAGGATCCACTAGTGTGACGCTGGGTCATCCATTCATTTGATTTGGAACTGATTTCCAACTTATATTTTGATTCATTTTATTAATTTTAAAATTTCTGAAAAATTTTTGATTTGAAAACCAAGAAACATTAAGGAGGATACATAAGAGCATTGGTAGCAAGCCTAAATAAGATCAAAGTCCACATGGGAAGTTACTGTATAAGACAATATGTGTATATAGCATTTATGAATCATTAAATAAGGTGGACTGAACATGGTGAACTAAAAGAATGGCCAAGGAACAGGATTATGCTTGAACAAAGTATTAGGTACAGTTGATGAAGACATATAATTTAGATGATCCTTTTTTATCAAGTCAGAAGGCTCTTTTGAAAAATTGATAGTGAAGCTCTTCCTCAAGCTGCTTCTTCTAACAGATGTCAAAATGAAAGGGAAG